GTAGGTTCACTTACTTTTACGTCATTTACAGCTGGTGTCTGTCATAAAGGGTACTTTTGTGTGTGTGTGTGTGTGAGCGCGTGCGTGCCTGAGCGCGTGCATGTGTGTGTGTGTGGTTTTGTTGACTGAGGAATATGGTCTGCTTGTTCAATCAGTTGATTCCCCCGTGTGGGTTCCGGGGCCCCATTGTGGGGAAAACAAGAATAGACCCACTGCCTCCCCAAAAGCATGTCGCAAGAGTAGACTAATTGGGGAGCTTCCTTTGAAGTCGGAGTGCATCTGCTGGAGAGGCAAGGAACCAAAAGTCTGTTTTCAAGAGAATGAGATCTGTAAAACTGATGCACACGCAACACTCAGGTTCTGGAGCAGGACTGCAGTTGAGTAGTGGACAAGCAACCAGAACTTTCCGCCAGAGTTTACAGCTGGTGAACGTGAAGAAGACGAAGAAGAATCAGTTGATATTAGATGTTCTATTTCACAGCCGAGAGATACAAACCCTTGGCTTTAACAAGAAAGTGAACATTTCCTACAATGTGTGTAACCAGTATCCTAACTACCTGATCATTTCCTCATCATGTCAGACAAAATAAAAATAATGTGTACACACTTAGACACACTAACACACACATTTTTTCCTGGCATATTTAGCTGTAATTGGACTCTTAAAACCAGTCAACTAGAATGACCAAACGCTTCAACAGGCACACCATCTGTTTTTATATCTGTACTGTTTATGAGACTGTACTGTTTATGTGACTGTACTGTTTATGTGACTGTACTGTTTATGTGACTGTACTGTTTATGTGACTGTACTGTTTATGTGACTGTAGTTTATGTGACTGTACTGTTTATGTAACTGTACTGTTTATGTAACTGTACTGTTCATGTGACTGTACTGTTTATGTGACTGTACTGTTTATGTAACTGTACTGTTCATGTAACTGTACTGTTTATGTAACTGTACTGTTTATGTAACTGTACTGTTTGTGCCTGCATTATTTAAACACAAAGCATAGTTCTAACTATCTGACCATCACCTGTACCATCATAGCAGACAGCAATATGAGTGACGGCAGTAAGTAACTATGTTATATACATACACTTATATGTATATGAAATGATTTATAATACAACATCAACAGTCTTCAACATATATATTTTACCTCTATTACAATGGCAGAATTTAACGGAGTCATGTTTATCACAGCGTGACCAAATGCAAAAAAAAAAAAAAGAAAATTATAACCAACAAAAATGGGGCAGAACCCTTACTACATTCATGAATGCAAACAAGAAATGCTTCAGTCAGACACCAACCATCAGCATCTAGAGAAATTGCAAGTTAAACATAAAACAAATGAGATTCAAACAAAAGTGCATCATATATAATTTACACGGAACAAACAAAAAAAGTAAAAGTATAATACAGAGCAAAATATTAAGTTCTAAATCCATGCAGACAGCTAAAATTTAAGAAATTATGGTAGAATTTAAAAAACTGTCCACATTTGGCATCAAAATTTTACCACATATACAAGTCAATGAACTCTAGAAAAAAATTATGTAATTCATTTCAAAACTGGGGCAGAAAAACTAGAGCTAACATGTTTTCAAAAGAAGAGAAAGTATAACAATGATTAATTTCAGTATTTCTAATAAAGACAACAAAAAATGTTGGAAAAAATACCAGTTATGGCTGGGAAAAAAAAAATATTCCTGAGATTAACGAGACCATCTAAGTCATTCAGATTATTGAGACCATCTAAGTCATTCAGTTTATGGAGACCATCTAAGTCATTCAGATCAATAGACCATTTTATTTCAGTCATTCAGATCAACAAGACCATTTAAGTCATTCAGATTAATGACATTATGTAAAGTCATGCACAACACCTTTTAAGTCACTCATTGTGTGATATGAGTCATTATGCTTACTCTCAGCCAGTTTAGTCAATTCAGACCTAGCAAATTTGACATTAATGAATGGTTACTTTTATGTTTCCATGCTGCTTATGCAGCCAAGTCATCAGCAATTAGTTAGTTGGTCTTTCCTCCTGAGCCTAGGGCAACAACTCATAGGGCAGAGGTCATAGCTCTCCATATCTGGCAGTTCGTTGCCACCTGTTTTAAGTCTTGAATGTTTATTAGGCCCATGGTTGAGCATTCCCTGATGATGGTTGCAGGGTCTTTCTCAGTCTTTCCCGCTTTCTTTTCTTTTCTAGTGTCTATATGAGGGCTTCGTGGGAGGAGTCTGGTCTTACCCATTCCGAGTGCATGGCCGATGTAGTTCCAGTGGTTTTTCTTATAAAACTGGACACATTAGTTTGTTTGATCTCTCGACTTATTTGCGTATTAGATCTGAAACCATTCATCAGGAGAGACTCCTTTCTTCTGCTGAGACCACTGTGGAAGTTCCATAACTTGCGACTCATCCAACTACAGTCTCTAATCATGGCTGGCAACATAGGTTGGCATGTCAGCAGGAAGTGTTCACTCAAGCCCACAAAGGTATTCTTTTATGTAGGAAACTCAACAGCTCTAAAGCAGAGTAGGGTAACCTAGTTGGTCCACGAGCCAAATTTAGAATTATCAGCATGTCCCGGGTCATAGAGAAAATCTGTTCTCAAATAAATTGATACCAAGATGGGTTACCGAACTCTTTTAATCTACAAACAGAGAAAACTAACCAGAGAAAAAAAAAGAGGTCACCGCCCTATATTTTATTATGAAAATCTGTCCACAGACATTGTCTCCTAATGTTTGAGTTTGTTGCAACACAAGTTTCACTTGCAAGATCACACATTTGGAGGCATCAGTTTCTGGCTGATTCTCAGTTACCACCCTTTTGTGCTGGATGATACTTAGATTGTTTTCTTTCTGCATATAAACATATCTTTTTGTATTCTACTATTGTGTGAGCTCAAAGAGCAGATTTGTGTGAGCTCAAAGAGCAGATTTGTGTGAGCTCAAAGAGCAGATTTGTGTGAGCTCAAAGAGCAGATTTGTGTAAGCTCAAAGAGCAGATTTGTGTGAGCTCAAAGAGCAGATTTGTGTGAGCTCAAAGAGCAGATTATATGGCATAATTTTACACCAGCCTTGTAGGCCCGTAAACAATTGTCAGTGGGCTAATTTTGGCTCGCGGGCCACAGACTGCCAACCCATGTTCTAAAGTTTCTGCTTCAGCTTGGCAACCTTTAGCCATACCGATCAATCTTGGCTGGCTATTCTAAATGAATATGTTTAGTTCTGGGTTTTGTTTGGTGTGGGAAACTCGTATACTACATTTATGCTATCTGCATGTTCTCAATTTTAGCTACTAATATTACCAAAGATAACATGCTCACAATTTATAATAAATATAATTAACTCAATTACAAAATAAAACTCAATGACAAAGAGAAATCACAATCAGAATTCTTAAATTAGTCATGTGAATTATGCGATCTTATTAAATACAATAACTTTGTGATGAAACAAACAAACAGTGAAGACATCATGATGTTTTGTGGGCTGAAGCGATGTGTCAACTGTCATCAAATGACAAAGAAAACTTAACAACTGACACACAACCAGTTCATCAATACACTGTGACTAATGACTAATAATAGAGACGACATTTTGCTAACACAACAGCTCCTGGCAGTAAACTAATCAAGCAGGTTGATCACAAACATGTTGAAAAGATTAATTAAACAAGGAGAAGTACAAACTACGTCTGTTCAGTGTAATCATACTTCAGTCTAAATCAACAGTGACACTAAAGCAAGGATAATGTTCATAAAACAGCTGGTTATATCACAATACACTCACTTTCTTAGCAACACAAGAAACTCAGTCAGTTGATAGATTTTCACCCCTTAATCACTGCAACTCACCAATTATATGAGGACTAATTATCATGTGATGACCAACTCCCATACGATTTCCAACTAACATACTATATGATGTGATGATCAACTTTCACATATTGACCATCATACTACCACTAATTATTACATAACGACCATCATGTGATCACAAATGATCATATGGAGACAATCATAGGATGATCAACTATCACATAATGACCATCATGTGATGGCCAATTAACATATAAGGACCATCACGAGATAGTCAATCATTATCTTATTACCATTATAAGATGACCAACTTTCATATAAATGACCATCATATAACCAACATGACTAACTATTCCATAATGACCATCATGTTATGACCAAGTATCATATAATGACCATCAGGCAATGACCAACTTTTAAATAATGACCATCATAAGATGACCAGCTATCATATAATAACCATATAAGATGACCAGCTATCATATAATGACCACATAAGATGACCAGCTATCATATAATGACCACATAAGATGACCAGCTATCATATAATGACTATCATAAGATGACCAGCTTTCATATAATGACCTTCATAAGATAATCAGCTTTCATATAAAAACCATCATAAGATAACCAGCTATCATATAATGACTATCACAAGATGACCAGCTATCATATAATGACCATAATAAGATGATCAACTATCATATAATGACCATCATAAAATGACCAGCTATCATATAATGACCATAATAAGATGACCAGCTATCATAAGATGACCAGCTATCATATAATGACCATCATAAGATGATCAGCTTTCATATAAAAACCATCATAAGATAACCAGCTATCATTTAAATGACCATCACAAGATGACAAATTTTCCCATAATGACCATTATATGATGACCAAGTATTACATAATGAAAACCATGTGATAACCAACTATCATATAATAGCAAATAAATGATGAGCAACTACTTTAAGATGACCAGCTACCATGTGATGACACAAATATACTTTCGAGTGTCCGGCAATGTTTAGAATTAGCACACATACACTTGTCAGCACAATCAGTGAGAACAGACGCCGTCACCGGTTAAACCTGCAAATGTAACAGAACATACACACTTGCAGTTGCAAGTCGGTCAGTGCAGAAGCAACATCAAACCACAGTCTCAGGTCTGGAGGCCATCTTAGCTTCCTCGTATGCCATCTGAATCATCTCCAAAGCCTGGGAAGAAAAAAAGGTAAAGTGTTCTCAGGTAACTGAATAAAGACATGACAATTTCCTGTTTTACATTTGATATACACAACAACTAACATTTTACTCTTATTCTAACTCAGTGTCCAATGTTTTTTTTCTACATCTCATCATGCAGCAGATCCTTTGCAGAATGTCGTTCTCATCATGGTCTCTCATCATGGTCTCTCATCAGTTCTCCCACCTCTTGCATCCTTACACCCAAGCAGTCAATGAGTCACTTATATCCTATGCCAATCTTCTTGCTGGTCGCACCCTGCCCTCCTTCCTGGTACCATGCCTTCTGCTAATTTTTTGTTTTCAAATCCGCCGTATTGCTTGATACGGCCAACATATTTCAGCTTGTTTTTACATATGCAGACGGGGAAAAGTTAGGAGAAATATTTTGTGGACTGACCTACAGCTGAGATAGAAACAAGAGCTAATGTTGATAAGATTTTTAAACAATTAAAACCAACATTATAAAACTACAATTCCCAGCCCATGTGACATCAGTGCTGTTGCTGCTGCTTCCTCTTCTTCTTCTGCCCTTTATCCCCCAGTGGAGCATAGGCCCTCAACCAGCTCATGTCAGATAGTCCTATCATTTGCTATTGCTTGCAGCTGACCCCAAGTCTCCCTTCTCTATCTCTCTGTTTAACTTCACACTCTAGTTCCCTTCTCAGTGTATTTTTTGGTTTGTTGGGGTCTTTCTTTACTATATGCCCCTGTGTGTTCCACTTTAGAGCCCTTATAGTTATACTGTTCTCAGGTTTTCTCACTGTCTGCCCCATTCATTGCCAGCATGTTGCCACTGCTTAGAGGTTTGAAAATGTGACAAAAAATGACTGGAGCATCATATCATGTAGCCCCTGCATGACTGGAGCATCATTTCATGTAGCCCCTGCATGACTGGAGCATCATTTCATGTAGCCCCTGCATGACTGGAGCATCATTTCATGTAGCCCCTGCATGACTGGAGCATCATTTCATGTAACCCCTGCATGACTGGAGCATCATTTCATGTAGCCCCTGCATGACTGGAGCATCATTTCATGTAGCCCCTGCAAGACTAGAGCATCATTTCATGTAGCCCCTGCATGACTGCAGCATCATTTCATGTAGCCCCTGCATGACTGCAGCATCATTTCATGTAGCCCCTGCATGACTGCAGCATCATTTCATGTAGCCCCTGCATGACTGGAGCATCATTTCATGTAGCCCCTGCATGACTGGAGCATCATTTTATGTAACCAATGCATGACTGGAGCATCATTTCATGTAGCCCCTGCATGACTGGAGCATCATTTCATGTAGCCCCTGCATGACTGGAGCATCATTTCATGTAGCCCCTGCATGACTGGAGCATCATTTCATGTAGCCCCTGCATGACTGGAGCATCATTTCATGTAGCCCCTGCATGACTGGAGCATCATTTCATGTAGCCCCTGCATGACTGGAGCATCATATCATGTAGCCCCTGCATGACTGGAGCATCATTTCATGTAGCCCCTGCATGACTGGAGCATCATTTCATGTAGCCCCTGCATGACTGGAGCATCATTTCATGTAGCCCCTGCATGACTGCAGCATCATTTCATGTAGCCCCTGCATGACTGGAGCATCATTTCATGTAGCTCCTGCATGACTGGAGCATCATATCATGTAGCCCCTGCATGACTGGAGCATCATTTCATGTAGCCCTGCATGACTGGAGCATCATTTCATGTAGCCCCTGCATGACTGGAGCATCATTTCATGTAGCCCCTGCATGACTGCAGCATCATTTCATGTAGCCCCTGTATGACGTATGACTGGGCAAACACTTTTGGTAGACCACCAGTATCAGTCCTTGGACTAGAGGCTGAGCAACAAGGTTCTAACCCACAATCTCATGTTAGTTGTTGGTGGATTGAGGGGGGGCGGAGGGGGGTACCACCATGAACTGTCCATAATAAAAGTCTCCTGCTCTTCCTGTCTTCAGCAATATTCTGTGGTACCGCGGCATAACCCTTTTTTCTAATAAATCCAACTTGGTATATGTCCTGTAGAGAAGCAAAAAAATATTCTTTGTTTATGACCTTTGTTTGGAATACGACTCACGTGCTAGAACTGGTATTGGTCAACCAGGTTCAAGTGTGGGAGTCAGACACACACACACACACACACACACAAAGAACAAGAAAAAACAAACAGATTCCTGAAAAACGACTCTCCTTCAAAACAATAAAATCTCCTCCGTCCTTCTCAACACCATCTTAGTAGGCTCTTGATTCCTCTCAACATCATCCTAGTAGGCTCTTGATTCTTCTCAACACCATCATAGTAGGCTCTTGATTCTTCTCACCACCATCATAGTAGGCTCTTGATTCTTCTCAACACCATCATAGTAGGCTCTTGATTCTTCTCAACACCATCATAGTAGGCTCTTGATTCTTCTCACCACCATCCTAGTAGGCTCTTGATTCTTCTCACCACCATCCTAGTAGGCTCTTGATTCTTCTCACCACCATCCTAGCAGGCTCTTGATTCTTCTCACCACCATCCTAGTAGGCTCTTGATTCTTCTCAACACCATCTTAGTAGGCTCTTGATTCCTCTCAACACCATCCTAGTAGGCTCTTGATTCTTCTCAACACCATCATAGTAGGCTCTTGATTCTTCTCAACACCATCATAGTAGGCTCTTGATTCTTCTCAACACCATCATAGTAGGCTCTTGATTCTTCTCAACACCATCATAGTAGGCTCTTGATTCTTCTCAACACCATCCTAGTAGGCTCTTGATTCTTCTCACCAAGGTGAGGTGAGGTTAAATGTTCATTCATTTTATCTCATTGCTTTTATATTTATGTACAGAATTAGGCAGTGTTTAAATTATTTTATTCAACCTCATCAATTTAAAATATACCCACACAAAAAAAAAAATGATTTTTTTTAAAGGGAATGGATTAATCACTCTCTCAATGGAAAATTCATTTGGTATATTCCTGTCTGGTAGAAGTCCAAGGATCTGTAACGGATTAAGGAATTCTACCGAGGTAACACCCTGGTGTGAATCAGAAATATGACTACATGTGACAGTTTTTCAAAGCATTGCTGATTATGCTGTGATATGAACATAAATTGTTTTGAGAAACAGTAAAATCAATCTATCTCTCCAGAGTTTTATGATTAACATGTAGGCAAAGACCTTTCTATGCTACACTATGAGACTGTCAGATCTGTCCCTGCCATCCAGCCACAACTGGCATTACCTTTTGATTTTCTGCAAGAAGCTTCTCAGTTTGATCTTGGTGAACTTTCTTCAAAGCCTCCACCTGCCTTGAATGTTTCACGGCACATCTCTTACGTTCTTCAATGAACTTTTTGGTGTTGTTCTCCTGTAGTTCTCGGATTCTCCTGGAATACACATGTAATCATCAAATAGCAACACACAAATTCCCACACAGCAGCAACTTATACAACATTGTCGGAGTCAGATACCATGTGTCAGCAAGAACAACACGTAACCTGAAAAAAAGAGTAGCATTTCTAGGATGACAGTAATATAAGCCCTGTCACAAATATAAGCCCTGCCACAAATATAAGCCCTGCCACAAATATAAGCCCTGGCACTAATATAAGCCCTGGCACTAATATAGGCCCTGCCACAAATATAGGCCCTGCCACAAATATAAGCCCTGCCACAAATATAAGCCCTGCCACTAATATGAGCCCTGCCACAAATATAAGCCCTGCCACTAATATAAGCCCTGCCACGAATATAGGCCCTGCCATAAATATAGGCCCTGCCACAAATATAAGCCCTGTCACTAATATAAGCCCTGCCACTAATATAAGCCCTGCCACAAATATAAGCCCTGCCACTAATATAAGCCCTGCCACAAATATAGGCCCTGCCACTAATATAGGCCCTGCCACTAATATAGGCCCTGCCACAAATATAGGCCCTGCCACAAATATAGGCCCTGCCACAAATATAGGCCCTGCCACAAATATAAGCCCTGCCACAAAATAAGCCCTGCCACAAATATAGGCCCTGCCACAAATATAGGCCCTGCCACAAATATAGGCCCTGCCACTAATATAGGCCCTGCCACTAATATAAGCCCTGCCACAAATATAAGCCCTGCCACAAATATAGGCCCTGCCACTAATATAGGCCCTGCCACAAATATAGGCCCTGCCACAAATATAGGCCCTGCCACAAATATAGGCCCTGCCACAAATATAGGCCCTGCCACTAATATAAGCCCTGCCACAAATATAAGCCCTGCCACAAATATAAGCCCTGCCACTAATATAAGCCCTGCCACTAATATAGGCCCTGCCACAAATATAGGCCCTGCCACAAATATAGGCCCTGCCACAAATATAGGCCCTGCCACAAATATAAGCCCTGCCACAAATATAAGCCCTGCCACAAATATAGGCCCTGCCACAAATATAGGCCCTGCCAAAAATATATAGGCCCTGCCACAAATATGAGCCCTGCCACAAATATAGGCCCTGCCACAAATATAAGCCCTGCCACTAATATAGGCCCTGCCACTAATATAAGCCCTGCCACTAATATAAGCCCTGCCACAAATATAGGCCCTGCCACAAATATAGGCCCTGCCACAAATATAAGCCCTGCTACAAATATAGGCCCTGCCACAAATATAGGCCCTGTCACAAATATAGGCCCTGCCACAAATATAGGCCCTGCCACAATCATAGGCCCTGCCACAATCATAGGCCCTGCCACAAATAGAGGCCCTGCCACAAATATAAGCCCTGCCACAAAAATAAGCCCTGCCACAAAAATAAGCCCTGCCACAAATATAAGCCCTGCCACTAATATAAACCCTTTTTAAACTTAAAAAGAAATTTTTATCACTGTATGACCAACAAAATAAGACATGGCCTGTAAATAAATCATATTTTTTCTTATAGAGCAAAAATTAATATAAGACACAGTCTTATTTAAAAACATGGAAGTGTGAAACTTAAAGAATATTATCAGTGTCAACTAGATACAGAAACTTACAGAACATTATGGGAACTAGAAAATTACAGAACAACGATCCGTGTCAATAAGATACAGAAACCTACAGAACGATAATCAGCATCAACTAGACACAGAAATTTACAAAACAAAAATATCAGTGTCAACTAGATACAGAAACTCACAGAATGTTATCAGTGCCAACCAGATATAAAAACTTACAGAACATCATCAGTGTCATTTAGACAGGCAGACTTACAGAACATATTTAGTGTCAAATAGGAAAAGAAACTCATAGCACATTACCAGTGTCAACTAGATACACAAACATACAGCATACCAGTGTCAACTAGATACATAAACATTCAGCACATTACCAGTGTCAACTAGATACATAAACATACAGCACATTACCAGTGTCAACTAGATACATAAACATACAGCACATTACCAGTGTCAACTAGATATATAAACATACAGCACACTACCAGTGTCAACTATATACATAAACATACAGCACATTACCAGTGTCAACTAGATACATAAACATACAGCACATTAACAGTGTCAACTAGATACATAAACATACAGAACATTACCAGTGTCAACTAGATACATAAACATACAGCACGTTACCAGTGTCAACTAGATACATAAACATACAGCACATTACCAGTGTCAACTAGATACATAAACATACAGCACATTACCAGTGTCAACTAACTAGGGAAACTTACAGAAAACTTAGGTATCGAAGATTTCAAACAATAGTACCTGTCTCTTTCTGCTTTGTTCTTGATAGTTTTATCATTGAGCACTGTTTTTGTTGACTCCATCGAATGTTTGGCCTGGTTGGCTTTCAGCTCCTTGTTTTCCCTAAACAGATAAATAAACTGCTACTGAAATTAAACTATAAGTGTCTTCAAACAAACAATGACAGACACAGCTCATCAGCACACATACACATGTAGTAAACTGACCAAACTGTTATAGCTAATGTCTCATCAGCTTTAACAAGTGCTTTGCTAGATGGTGCAAACATTATTGTCTCTTACAGATCTCCGACCTTGTTGTTCCAGCTCTGTTCTATTGATTGTATTCTTCTATTAGATCCTCTACCACAGTGGTTTTCAACGTTTTCATGTGGTGAGCCCCTTGAATGTACGGCAAGACCTCCACACCCTCATCTCCTTTTCCCTTTTTCAAATTTAAAAAATATGTTTGAAAAGAAGTAGTTGGACAAACTGCTCATAAAAACACAAATGCATTTTTTTTAGTGTTAAAAATAATTTATTTATAATATTAAAAAACAAAACAAAAAAACATAACAGATTATTACAAGAAGTGCAAATGCATTCAATTTCAAAATTGCTTTGAAACAAGGCATGACAATTTATTCTTGTAGTCAAAAGCATTTACAACATTTATCTTAGAAACCACGTTTCTATTGCCTCCGAACTCTTCCTACTCTGTCCTCCTCCTGAGATTCATTGGCATGCAGCCAACAGGTCTGACATAACATTTCAGTACTATGTGCCTGATATTCAATAATCTCTTACCACTGCATTCTTAAAACATTACATGATTTCTTTTTTTTTTTTTTCAGCATTAAAACTGACATCATTTCTCACCATACCACGGCAAACTGACAAGATTTCTCACCCATCTACTGTAGAAACTGAAATAATACAATTTTTTTTTTTTTACCTTATAAGTAAAACCTGACATTATTTCTCAGTTTTCTACAGTAAAACTTGACAGGATTTTTTGCACAATTAAAAAAATAATTAAAGAAATTACAACAAGTTAACAACACCTACAATTAAATTAACTGATAACAAAGGTTATTTCATGAGAACAAATTCAATAAGGTCAGCAGCATGAAAGCAGAAACACCTAAAAGTGGGGGGGGGGGGGGGGGGGGTGAACACCAAAACGATGAAGTGAATGGGTGTTTGACACACTGAGACCACAACACCATTGCGTACCGAGCAACCTACCATGCCCGAGACAGATCATCCATTAACCTGGGATGTCTATTGGCACGCACACACACAAGATACTGAGGAAAGCCCAAAAAACTATGAAACCTCACCTCTCCTGCTTCGCATCAAGTTCAGCCAACTGCTCTCTTTGAGCATCCTCCAACAGCTTGGCCAGGGTCTCATTCTGCTGAATGGTGTGCTCCCTCCAGAGCTCATGTTCCTCTGTCATCTGTCTCAGCACCATCTCTGACCACTCTTTCGTCTGTAGCACCACTAGCTCCTTTACCTACAATTATACAATCAGAATATCATGTGTCAAACAAACAGCCAGCAATGACTGCCATGATACTGTGTATCTAACATGACTGACAAGATACTGTGTATATAACATGACTGACAAGATACTGTGTATCTAACATGACTGACAAGATACTGTGTATCTAACATGACTGACAAGATACTGTGTATCTAACATGACTGACAAGATACTGTGTATCTAACATGACTGCCAAGATACTGTGTATCTAACATGACTGCCACAATACTGTGTATCTAACATGACTGCCATGATACTGTGTATCTAACAGGACTGCAATGATAATGTATATCTAACATGACTGCAATGATAATGTATATCTAACATGACTGACAAGATACTGTGTATTTAACATGACTGCCAAGATACTGTGTATCTAACATAACTGCCACGATACTGTGTATCTAACAGGACTGCCACAATACTGTGTATATAACATGACTGCCACAATACTGTGTATCTAACAGGGCTGCCACAATACTGTGTATATAACATGACTGCCATGATACTGTGTATCTAACAGGACTGCCACAATACTGTGTATTTAACATGACTGCCACGATACTGCGTATCTAACAGGACTGCCACAATACTGTGTATATAACATGACTGCCACGATACTGTGTATATAACATGACTGCCACAATACTGTTTATCTAACAGGATTGCCATGATACTGTGTATCTAACAGGACTGCCACGATATTGTGTATCTAACATGACTGCCACGATACTGTGTATCTAACATGACTGCCATGATACTGCATATATAACATGACTGCCACGATACTGTGTAGATAAAATGACTGCCACGATACTGTGTATATAACATGACTGCCACAATACTGTGTATCTAACATGACTGCCATGATACTGCATATATAACATGACTGCCACGATACTGTGTATCTAACAGGATTGCCACAATACTGTGTATCTAACAGGACTGCCACAATACTGTGTATATAACATGACTGCCATGATACTGTGTATCTAACAGGACTGCCACAATACTGTGTATATAACATGACTGCCATGATACTGTGTATCTAACAGGACTGCCACAATACTGTGTATATAACATGACTGCCATGATACTGTGTATCTAACAGGACTGCCACAATACTGTGTATTTAACATGACTGCCACGATACTGTGTATCTAACAGGACTGCCACAATACTGTGTATATAACATGACTGCCAGGATACTGTGTATATAACATGACTGCCACGATACTGTGTATCTAACATGACTGCCATGATACTGTGTATCTAACAGGACTGCAATGATAATGTATATCTAACATGACTGCAATGATAATGTATATCTAACATGACTGACAAGATACTGTGTATTTAACATGACTGCCAAGATACTGTGTATCTAACATGACTGCCACGACACTGTGTATCTAACAGGACTGCCACAATACTGTGTATATAACATGACTGCCACGATACTGTGTATCTAACAGGACTGCCACGATACTGTGTATTTAACATGACTGCCACGATACTGTGTATATAACATGACTGCCACAATACTGTGTATATAACATGACTGCCATGATATTGTGTATCTAACAGGATTGCCATGATACTGTGTATCTTACAGGACTGCAATGATAATGTATATCTAACATGACTGCAATGATAATGTATATCTAACATGACTGACAAGATACTGTGTATTTAACATGACTGCCAAGATACTGTGTATCTAACATTACTGCCACGATACTGTGTATCTAACAGGACTGCCATGATACTGTGTATCTAACAGGACTGCAATGATAATGTATATCTAACATGACTGCAATGATAATGTATATCTAACATGACTGACAAGATACTGTGTATTTAACATGACTGCCAAGATATTGTGTATCTAACATGACTGCCACGATACTGTGTATCTAACAGGACTGCCACAATACTGTGTATATAACATGACTGCCACAATACTGTGTATCTAACAGGACTGCCACGATACTGTGTATCTAACAGGACTGCCACAATACTGTGTATATAACATGACTGCCATGATACTGTGTATCTAACAGGACTGCCACAATACTGTGTATATCTAACAATCTGTAATAACAAATGTAATAGTTTTATAAAACATTCTTCTCCTTCTTCTGGAAGTTAACTCTTTCATTTCATTGCAGACAATTTTAACTTAAACTCCATCTGCTCCAAGAAGCTGATCTTAATAACAATAAATAATTATGGAAGAGCTTAACAGAGACAGCACAAGAAAGAAGTAGTATAAATAGGATACAAAGGGTTACCATAGTTTTATGGTCACTGTCAAGACTGTATATCTTATCAAATGTTATGGTCACTGACAGGACTGAGTATATCTTACCATAGTTTTATGGTCACTGACAAGACTGTGTATATCTTACCTTAGTTTTATGGTCACTAACAAGACTGTGTATACCTTATCTTAGTTTTATGGTCACTGACAAGACTGCATATCTTACCATAGTTTTATGGTCACTGACAGGACTGAGTATATCTTACCATAGTTTTATGGTCACTGACAAGACTGTGTATATCTTACCTTAGTTTTATGGTCACTGACAGGACTGAGTATATCTTACCTTAGTTTTATGGTTACTGACAAGACTGTGTATATCTTACCCTAGTTTTATGGTCACTGACAAGACTGTGTATATCTTACCTTAGTTTTATGGTTACTGACAAGACTGTGTATATTTTACCTTATTTTTATGGTCATTTACAAGACTGTGTATATCTGACCTTAGTTTTATGGTCACTGACAAGACTGTGTATATCTTACCATAGTTTTATGGTTACTGACAAGACTGTGTATATCTTACCTTAGTTTTATGGTTACTGACAAGACTGTGTATATCTTACCTTAGTTTTATGGTCACTGACAAGACTGTGTATATCTTACCTTAGTTTTATTGTCACTGACAAGACCATGTATATCTTACCTTAGTTTTATGGTCACTGACAAGACTGTGTATATCTTACCCTAGTTTTATTGTCACTGACAAGACTGTGTATATCTTACCTTAGTTTTATGGTTACTGACAAGACTGTGTATATCTTACCCTAGTTTTATTGTCACTGACAAGACTGTGTATATCTTACCCTAGTTTTATGATCACTGACAAGACTGTGTATATCTTACCTTAGTTTTATGGTTACTGACAAGACTGTGTATATCTTACCCTAGTTTTATGGTCACTGACAAGACTGTGTATATCTTACCTTAGTTTTATGGTCACTGACAAGACTGTGTATATCTTACCTTAGTTTTATGGTCACTGACAAGACTGTGTACTAATCCCTCTGACTGGGACTTCAAGTCCGTGCTGCTATCCCTGACATGTACAGAAGAGAGAATAACCATTTGAATCTGTATCTTCTCTAACCATCTGTGTATACAGGGTAATGCATTTTAATTCTGTCACTTATTTCAGCTGTCGTCCTCTGAAAGTACTGGAGAGTTTTGGGAAATGCCATTCTGGTCTCAAGAATCAGTGAAGGAAAAACCCCAACTGCACCTCCTCGGGGTAGAGAATGGTAAACACACTGCGGTGTGGCCAATGCAGCTATGGGGACCGAGTATCCGCCAGGATAAGTGGACACCTCTGGGGTGCCCTCTGCTGTTAGCAGGAGCATCACAGAGCAGGCACTCACTTGCCCTAGGAATCGAAAAGGTTGCTGAAGGCTGAGGACACAGTCTAAAGCCATGTGGATGTGGAAAGCAACAGGAAACCACCACATTATTATCCCAAGAAACTCATCATGGAAGCCGAAAATGAAACTCAAAGATCTGATGGTAAGGCTCCCAGGCCAGGCAGATCACAAACACGGACTGGGGAAGAGAACGATGGCAGAGCAAGTGAGGGTAGTTGTAATGACGGCCTTAAGCCTGACGGTACTACAACAGAAAACTCTGTCATAGCTCTAAAGAAACTTTGAAGTTAGGAACATGGAATGTTACATGAAAGTACATGAGGCGGGAGGGCTGGAAAGAGACAGAGTTTCTTTCAGACAGACCGTGATGAGAGAGCAACGTTCTGCAAAGGACCTGCTACATGATGATGATGATGACGATGATCTCAGCTGTCAGGAGGCTGAGGCTTTACACCAAGATTTGGCTGTGCTGTTATGTGTGATACACGGCTCAAGGTTTTTTCCTATGCAGATATTTTATCTTCGTGGAGTGAATCCAGTCCAGCATTTTTACCCTCTCTCATCAACATTCATCTAATAGCTTTGGGCATCCGTGTCTCCTCAATCTATATGTTTTCAAATGCTGCCTTTTCTGAATTCTGCCAACTGCTTCTGAATACTGCCACGGTTTCTAAACTTTGCCTTCTGTTACCAGATTTTGCCATTTGTTTGCAATTCTCTAAAATGGGCACATTTGCATTGGATATTAATTTGAAAAAGACAAAAATCATGATATTTAGCAAAGAAAATAATCAGCTAACAATGAATATCACAGTGAATCGGGTGAAATTGGAACAAGTTAAAAATTTCTTATATCTTGGACAAGTAATAAAATGTGACGGCAGAAGTGAAACAGAAGTCAAGAAAAGAATAGGGATGGCCAAAAACATTTTCAACAACATGCAAAAGTTACTGACATCAAGAGAAATATGCAATACATTAAAAATGAGAATTGTCAAATGTTATGTATACTCAACCTTACTGTATGGCACAGAGACATGGAAAATGAACAAACAACTGGAAAATCGTATCAATTCTTTGGAGATGTGGATACACAGAAGATTAGGTCGTATTTCATGGAAACAAAAGCTTTCAAATACAGAGGTACTGAGGAAATTGGGGATGAAAAGAGAGTTGCTAAGTGAAAAAAAAAAGAGAAAAGTGAAATATTTTGGCCACATTAAAAGACAAACAGTATTGTAAAGATCATCCTAGAGGAAAAGGTTCAAGGTAGGCGAGCAAGAGGCAGACAGCGTTACAAGTGGGAGGATAACATCAAGAGATGGACGAACACCGGTATGAGTGAGTGTACATCAAGGGCAAGAGACAGGGCTTGTTGGAGAACCATTGCAGCCAACCTTCATTGTGGAGACGGCACCTGATTGATTGTGATTGAAAATGGGCACAAGACAATTTATCTGGAATGTAAAAATAGCTTATATGACACCAACCACATCACAGACTGTCGGCTGATTGGTCTCAAAATACAAGGTTAGCAATAAATTCTAAACATCCCTCACTGATGTCTTCTCCTGTTTCTTCTCCTTAGCATTCACCAGCTGTAAACTCCAGAGGAAAGTTCTAGATGTTTTCTATTTCTGGATCCTGATTTGTTCCAGAACTTGAGTTTTGTGCGAGCATGCATTTCATAGATCTGACTTATTTATTTGTACGGATATTGCTGGTTCCCTGCCTCTCAGGCAGATACACGACAACTTCCCAGGAAACACCAATAACTACTAGTCGCCTTCTACAACAGGCTTGTCAGGGTAGCAGTGGGTCTATTCTCTCTCCCGTCCCCTGCCCAATTTTTTTTTGTTTTACTGTTGTGTTTTTTTAAAGGGATCTTTTATGAAAACATTAAATTTCATGTTGTATGTTACTTCAATAAATAAATCAGGTACTATCTCCCCCAATAAAGGCTGGCTGTACTGGATCCCCAAGACAATATGCCTTTCTCCTAGAATGGACAATCAGATTGCTTTTTGTCCATCTCTCAATGTTATCCTCCCACTTGTATCATTTACCTTTGACTTTTCCCTACATTATAATTGTTGTACACCAGGCAGCAAATTCACGGAGAAACAGAAGATCGAATGGTTTGGTAATTTAGTGAGAATGCAGCCAGAACGACTACCAATGCAGGTGCTACACATGACACGGATCTGAACTAAAAGCAAGAGTCTACCTTAGGAGAAGATGGACTGATGACATTAAAGAGCTTCTACATCAACATGCAATGATAAAAGTCAATGCTGCCCACCAAGCCATGGATCACAAACTATTCATCCCATAACCCTTAAAGGCAGAATTGGAAAATAATGGTGATGTTAATTTTTATAAGTGTTCTGTTTTTTAATATAGCCATAAATGAAGCAAAAATAATAATAACAAAAATCATGGCAGTATTACATTCTCAGAAACTCAATAAATTATAGTTTTATTTCCTGTGTTCATCGGCAGTAAACTCCGGCAGAAAGTCCAGGTTGTTCGTCCATTTGGACTCTGGCTTTGTGCCATATCCAGGGCCTAAGTTTTGCGTGTACATTCATTTGATATTAAATACAGTGAAACCTTATTAACATGCTCGCTTTACTCTTTCAGGCCCAAGGAATGCATCATACATTCATTGGTTCCAATGAATGCCAGATGTGCCAATTTCACATTTCTCTCTATACTACCTCGTTGGGCCTCCCCCCCCCCCCCCCCCCCCCCCCCCACTGCGACAGAAAGAATGAATTTAAGACACTTAGTTAACATGAACAAAACTGTCATCATAGCAGGAATATTTTTGTTATCTGTCCCTGCTTAGCACCCATTTTTTAATACACAATCTTCAATTTTTTTCAGTCCCTCTGAATTTGTGTTTATGAGTTTTTACTGTGTCAAACTAAATAACAAGATTTCTTTACTATGTGCAAACCAAATGAGAAAAGTTGCTTGGTACACTCTTGAAACCCAAAGAGTTGAAAGTTGAATTAAGAATCAACATCATAGCAGTCGGGACACTCCCATGAGCACTCCGTTTCCATCTTCAGCAGTAAGCAAAGGGTTCCAATTCTGATGGTACCAGTAACTGTGTGAATGTACATCCAAATCGCCTTTCCCTTGAATGTTGAGCGTTGGCCTGATGCCCTGGTAACTCCTCACAGATCCTTCTCAGACCATAATGATCTCACCCAAAGAGTTAGTGAAATAAAATCTGCTGGTCCCAAATCTTGGCTTCCAATCAGCATTTAAGCAGTTTTTTTTGTTTTTTTTTAATAATCCCAGGTCGACTTGAAATAAGTACTAGGAAATATTGTAGGAAGTAGGCAGCTGTTTCGAATTTGAGCACATTGTCCATCAAGTGCCGACTGGTCAATAAAATATGTATCTAGCCACAGCTAGTGGTACATAACAGTATGCAGTAACAGCAAATTTTTTTTGTTTTAAATAGTTTCAGAGGTGAGTAGTGGCACCTTTTGACTGTGGTCCGGGTTCATGCCCGGGGGTTGGCCACCAGCATTAGCAGCAACAGCAGCAGCAGTAACTATCAATTAGAAAGTTTGTGCGAGTGCCCGCACTCAATGTTTTTTTTTTTCTACTAAGGGATGTAACCTCATCACTTAATAAACACGTTCTGGAAAACCAGTAAACAGGATTTTCAAAAAACATTTTAAAAAGTAATGTCTTTAAAATTTAGGGTATCTATCATGGAATCAAGGCTGAAGGGTTGCGATATCCATAGTACCGAGCCAAAGAGTTAACAACTCACAGTTTCTGGATACTTTAATTTAAACAAATTTTTTTAAATAAAAAAAACACTGTGGTTAGTACTGGCACCTCATTTTTTCTAGCTAAAGAAGCTGTCAGTCTAACAACATATGCTCAATGGTAGGAGAAGGGATCATGATAAAACTCAGTGAAAGACTTGATGTGACTTACTTGTTTTTCTTGAGCTTCTTTTCCATAGATTTCTCGGTTGCTGACTTCTCTTTGTCATGAGAGGCCACCAGCTTGTCCACAACCGTGCAATGAGCTCGCTGCATCACTGACCTCTCCTTCTGATGCCGACGCTTCAGCATCTCCAGGTCCTTGGGCTGTTTGCGCAGCAGCTTGAAGTAGATCTTCTCCGACATCAGCTTTTCCCTTGTCAGAGGCTCAAATGTCATTTCTGCAGAGTATGGGGAGTTATCACCTCAGTCAAATCTTGTCAACAAGGTAATATTACTAGGGATTTTTGTAGGTAGGTCATTCAGGCACAAATTCAAGCACCATTACATAGATCTACATGCAAAAATCCGGCTACTGATAATCGAGTTCCTTCACATTTCCAGCTCTGAATTCAGAGCACATTTTCATATTTACGGCGTTGGCACATCACTGTTTTCTGGAGGTGCCATTTATGTTTTGATGGCGCTGTATTCCAGAATCAGCCGCTGGGTCTTACTTGCACATATTTACAGGCCCTTCTGCTTATTCCTTCTCATTTTACCATTTATTTTTCTTCTGTACAGCCCCATTTTGGATTCAGCAAAGAAATGAGGTTGTGCAAAATATAAACAACCTGTGTTGTAGATTGCAGACAAACTGGACATAATAAATAATATGCTAATATATATATACAGCATAAATAACCATTTAAAAAATCAGGCCTTTTCACAAATCTGGCACTCCTCGGATCTGGAG